AAAAAAAAAAAAAAAAAAAAAAAAAAAAAGAAAGAAAAAGAAAATGGAGAACAGAGTGCAGCAAACCTTCAAGAAGATTTTACACCATGACCAAGTAGGATTCATCCCAGGGGTCCAAGGATGGTTCAACATATGCAAATCAATAAATGTAATACACAATATCAACAGAGTCAAGAACAAAAAACATATGATCATCTCAATAGATGTAGAAAAAGCATTTGACACAGTCCAGCACCCATTCATGATAAATACTCTACAGAAAATTGGAATAGATGGTCTTTATCTCAGTCTGATAAAAGACATCTATGACAAAGCAACAGCCAACGTGATGCTAAATGGACAGAAAGTGAAAGCTTTTACTTTAAAATCAGAAACAATGATTCCTGGTACCGGGGGAAAAAAAAACAAAAAACAAAACAAAACAGAAACAAGACAAGGATGTCCACTATCACCACTCTTATTCAATATAGTTCTGGAAACACTAGCCGGAGCAATTAGACAAGAGAAAAAAATAAAAGGAATAAAGATAGGAAAGGAAGAAGTTAAATTATTATTTGCAAATGACATGATAGTCTACATAGAAGACACCAAAAGACTTCTAGGTTTAATAACCAGTTTCTGGTTAGCAAAGCTGGATACAAAGTCAACAGTCAAAAATCAGTAGTATTCTATACACAAAAAACAAGCTCTGAGAGAAATTAGGGGAAAAATATCTTTCACTATAGCATCCCCCAAAATGAATTACCTGGAAATAAACCTAATGAAGGTAGTAAGAGACCTTTGCATTGAATACTATAATAGTCCAGCCAGGCATGGTGGTGCATACCTGTAATCCCAGCAGTTGGGAGAGACTGAGGCAGGAGGATAGCCATGAGTTCAAGGCCAGCCTGGGCTACATAAGTGAGTTCAAGACCAGCCTGCACTACATTGTGAGACCTTGTCTCAAAACAAAACCAAAAACAAACACCCAAAAAACCTACAATACTCTAAAAAAGGAAATTAAAGAGGATATCAGAAAATGGAAAGATATCCCTTGTTCTTGGGTAGGAAGAATCAATATAGTGAAAAAAGCCATATTTCCAAAATTAAAAATTTAATGCAATCCTGATCAAAATGCCAACAGTGTATCTCACAAAATTAGAGAAAACAATCCTAGAATTCATTTAGAACCAGAAGAGACATAGAATAGCAAAAACAATTCTGGGCAACAAAAGCAAGGCAGAGTGCATCACAACCCGATTTGAAATTATACTACAGCCAAGTGTGTTGGCATACACCTGTAATCCCAGCACTTGGGTGGCTCAGGCAGGAGGATTGCTGTGAGTTCAAGGCCAGCCTGAATTGCATAGTGAGACCCTGCCTCAAAAAGACAAAAAAAAAAAAAAAAAGAAAGAAAGAAATTATACTATAAAGCTCCTGTGATAAAAAACAGCATGGTACTGGCAAATAAAAAGACCTGAGGATCAATGGGATACATTAGAAGATGTAGAAACAATTCCAGACACACTCAGCTACCTTATCTTTGACAAAGGAGCCAAGTATCTTCACTAAAGGAAAGATAGCCTCTTTAATAAATGGTGCTAGAAAAACTGGCTTTCCACATGCCAAAGATTAAAACTTGACCCATGTCTATTATCATGCACTAAACTAAAATGAAATGGATCAAAGATCTAAATATTAAAATAAACATGCTAAATCTACTGGAAGATAGAATAAGTAGAACTCTTGAAGACATTGGTATAGGCAAAGACTTTATGAAAAACCCCAGTTGCACAGAACTATCAAAAAGAATCAACAACTGGGCTCCCATCTTATTAGAAAGCTTTTGCACAAGAGACAACCCACGATGTGGGAAAAATTTTTTGTCAGCTGTTCCTCAGACAAAGGATTACTATCTAGAATATATAAAGAACTTAAAAAAAATCAGACCCCCCCCCATTTAAAGACAGCAACCTGAAATGAATAAACACTTCTCAGATGAAGAAATAGAGATGGCAAATAAATATATAAAAAATATTCAAAAGCTGGGCATGTTAATCCCAGCACTTTGGATGCTGAGGCAGGAGTATTGCTGTGAGTTCAAGGCTAGCCTCAGCTACAAAGTGAGTTCAAGACCAGCCTGAAGTGCATAGCGAAATCCTGTGTCAAAAAGACCAAAAAAAAAAAAAAAAAAAAAAGCTTCAGTGTCACCAGTAATTTGAGAGATACAAATTAAAGCAATGCTAAAATTCCATCTCACTCCACAAAGAATGGTTAATATAAAAAAATCAACCAATAATAGATGCTGGCAGAGCTGTGGGGAAGAAGGAACCCTGACTTGTGCAACCATTTGGAAATCAGTGTGGAAATTCCTAAAAAACACTAAAAATAGGGGTTTCATTTGACCCAGCTATTCCACTTCCTGGAATCTTCCTGAAAGAATTAAAAGCATCATACCACAGTGATATAGGTACACCCATGTTTATAGCAGCACAGTTTGTAATAGGTAAATCTTGGAAACAGCCCAAATGCCCATCAACCAATGAATGGATAAAGAAAATGTGTTTGTGTTTTTTTTAATACGATGGAGTACTACTCTGCCATAATGAAGGATAAGCTTGAGACATTTCTACCTAAATGGATGTAACTTGAGACCATACTTTTAAGTGAAATAAATCAGACATATATGTTTAAATACCACATTGTTTCTCTGGTGTGAGAAACTGAAAGTGTAAAGGACTAAAATGTATATTGGGAAAGGGGAAGAAAATGCTCAAATCAGAGAAGGAACAAGGGAGGTGGGAGGGGGAAAGGAAGGGACAAGAAAAAAGGGAAAAAATGGAAACAAAGCTTTTGTAAATAAGGAGGGGAAGAGGGGTTGAAGGGAAGGGAGGGGAATGGAGAAAAAAGAAGAAGCAAGATATGCCATGCAGGGGCTGGTGATTTAGCTCAGTGGCACAGCGCCTCCCTGGCAAGTGCAAGATCATGAGTTCAATTCCTGGTACTGGAAAAAAACCAAAAAACAAAAAAAAAAAAAGAAAAAAAAAGATATGCCATGCACCAGTACAAATTCCCTATGATGAATGTTATCATTATGTATATCTAAAATGTACCAATAAAAAAAGAAAACTAAGAAAAAAGAATCAGATGGCTATACTTGCATGGCTTTGTTTCTGTGTATTTGATTCTATTCCACTGGCCTACATGTTTATTTTTGTTTGTTTGTTTTTGCTTTTCTGGTACCAGGAATTAAACTCATGACCTTGCACTTGCCAGGCAGGCACTTTGCCGCTGAGCTAAATCCCCAGCCCCTACATGTTTATTTTTGTGCCAGTACCACACTGGCTTGATTTTGGTTTTGGTTTTCTGAGACAGGTTCTCACTATGTAGTTCAGGCTGAACTTGAACTCACTATACTGCCCAAGCTGGCCTAGGCTTCCTGAGTGCTGTGATTACAGGTATGCACCATCCTGTTTTGTTTTGTTTTTTTTTTCTTTGTTTGTGACAAAGTCTCGTTATATAATTCAGACTGGCCTTGAACTTGCTATATAGCTCAGGCTGGCCTCAAACTCACAGTGATAGTCCTGGCTCAGTCTCCCAAGTGCTAGCATTAAGCATGTGCCACCCCCTACCCAGCCCCAGCCCTTTTCTATTTAATTGTTATTTTGTGACAGAGTCTCACTAAATTTCTTTCTCTTTTTCTTTCTCTCTTTCTTTCTTTCTTTCTTTCTTTCTTTCTTTCTTTCTTTCTTTCTTTCTTCCTTCCTTCCTTCCTTCCTTCCTTCCTTCCTTCCTTCCTTCCTTTCTTTCTTTCTATCTTTCTTTCTTTCTTTTCTTTTTCCTTTTCTGAGACAGGGTCTTGCTACACTGACCTTGAGCTCACTTTGCAGCCCAGGCTGGTCTCGAACTCGAAACAATCCTCCTGCCTCAGCCTCCTGAGTGCTGGGATTACAGGCTTGTGCCACCATGCCCAGCCTCACTAAATTTCTTAGTTTCCCAGTCTGGGTTCAAATTTGTGATCCACCTGCCTCAGCATCCCAGTGTTGGAATTACCTCCATATCACTGTGCCAGGCTTGTAATAGTTCTTGCTTTAGTCCCTTTCCCTCCACCTCCACTGCTACTGTCATGAATAGATCCCTATTTTGTTCTTACCTGAACCAGGGCAGCAGCTGTCTCACTGGTCTTCCTGCCAACTTGCACTCCTGCCAGCACACCCACCCACCCACAAACTTTAAGTGACATGTTTGGGATTTAGGACTCTGAGAATGCCAAATGAAAGCTATAAAAATAATACATTTAAAGCAGCAAGACATTTATGTCTACTGACAGTTGCTTTGCCTTTCCAGACAACTTTCTGTGTGTGTGCAAATTATGTGCACAATTAAGTACAGATTTAACATTTTGGTGAAACTCATGGAGAACGTGAAATTTACACAAAAATTTCAAGATTACTGAAAAGGACCTTAAACTGGGCGTGGTGACGTATGTCTGTAATTCCAGCACTCAGGGAGGCTGAGGCAAGAGATCAGTGAGAGTTTGAGGTCAGCTGGACTACACAGTGAGTTCAAGGTCAACCTGAACTACATATGGAGACCCTGCCTCAAAAACAAACAAGCAAAACAAAACAAAACAAACAATACTGTAATGAGACCCTCCATACCCATCACTCACTTTCCAATAATTACCAACATTCACTATTTTGACTTCATCTATCATGTTTTCTTTGTTTATTTGATTTTTTTCTCCCCAGTACTGAAGATTGAACCCAGAGAGTGCTGTATTCCTGGACCTTTTTGGTTTTTGAGGCAGGGTCTCCCTAAAGTGCCCACTCTGCCCTCGAATTTGGAATCCTCCTGCCTCAGTCTCCAGAGTAGCGAGGATTACAGGCATGTGCTACCACTCTGGATTTCCCTTCCCACTCCTCCCTCTTTTTTTCCCTATTCTGGAGATTGAACCCAGGGCCTTTGCACTGAGCTACATTTCTACTTTTTATTTTTTATTTTTGAGGCAGAGTTTAAATTGCTAAATTGCCCAGGCTGGGCTTCAGTCTGGGGATAATCCTGCTGCCTCAACCTCCCTTAGTGGTGGGATCGCTGGTATATGCCACCACCCCCGTTGGACATGACTTCTTTAAAAGGCGAAAGGCTGGGGCGATGTGGAGCACATCAATAACCCCAGCACTCTGGGAGGCTGAGACAGGAGGATCTTAGTTCAAGCCCTGCCTGGGCAATATAGCAGCTTGGAGAGACCCTATCTAAAAAAATGAAAATAGATTTGGGGACATAGCTCAGTGTGAAGGCCCTTGTTTCAAATCCCACTTCTATGAAAAACCAAATATCATAGATAAAGCTAAAGCTCTGCTCTTTTATCTCAACCTTCTCCCTCCCTAGGAGTAACCTCATTTTGAAAGTGTGTCATTCCAAGCATCTTTTTGTGCTTTTTGCACGTTTTTGTCGCTATAAACATTATATGATATTTTTTAGTGGATATTTGTTTATTTATTTAAGTATAGTTTTGTGGTACTGGGAATTGAGCCCAGGGCGTCATGTATGCTATGTAAGTGCTCTACTACTAAGCCACATCCAAGCCCTATTGATTATAAAATATCCATAAATGTTGTCCACTTTATATAATCTCCTGAGATAATTCCCACTTAATATCAGAGGGTTTTAAAAATTTTTTTAAATTGTATTTTATTGGTACATTTTAGATATATATAACGATCACATTCATCATAGAGAATCTGTATCTGTACGTGATATAACTTTGTTTTTTCCCCACTCCTTTCCCCTCCTTTCAATCCCTCCTCCCCTCCCCATTTGCTTGTTGTTTTCCAACAGTGTCTCCCTATATAACTTAGGCTCTTCAAGTCACTATGTAGCCCAGGTTGGCCCCCAGCTCCCAGAGATCCTCCTCCAACACTCTCCTGAGGACTGGGATTACAGTCGTGTGCCACTGAGTTGAGCTATGGGCATTACTGGTTGATCGACCGATTGATTGATTTATCGATGGAGACATGCCCTCCCTGTACAGTTCAGGCTGGTTTTGAACTCACTGTGTAACCCTGGTTAGCTTCGAACTCACACTCTTGCCCCAGCCTGCCAATGCTGGAATTATAGGCATGTGCCACCACGCCCAGATATATTGCCTTAAAAAAAAAATCATATAATTTGTTTTTTTTCTTTCTTTCTTTCTTTCAGTTAAAACCATATAATTTGTAATATAAAATTAAGGTTCCTTTGGGGCGCGGGACCCCGGTGATGGGCGGAGCCTAGAGTTGGGAAAGGGGCAGGAACTATGGGTAGTGGGCGGGGCCCGGGTGATTCGGAACGCCGGGCGGACGGTGTGGTTCAGCCAGGAGGTCTTTAGGATGTTGGCGCCCGTCGTGTACGTGGCAGTGGCGGCTCTGCTCGTTGGCCTTATCCTCTTCCTGACTCGCAGCCGGCGCGGGGTGCCAGAAGGTAAGAGGTGCCGCCAGGCTAGGGCCAGTGAGGTACGGTTCTCAGGCCTTTCGAACCTTGTGAGGCCGACGCGTCGCGGCTTGTGCGCATGCGCCGGCTGGCCTGTCCCGGCGAGTTTCTCCGTAGTGCGTCAGGCGGCGGTCTGCGCATGCGCCTGCGTCTGCGCTTTGAGGTTCTGGTGCCGAAGTGTTGGCTATGACCCTACCTGGAATCTCGGTGGCAGCATTTCTACACCTTTTTCTGCCACGAGGCGAGAGCCTTGAGCCGTCCTTTACTTCTTAGCCCTCCAGACCCAGAGGGGCTAGGTCCTGGCGGACATACACCGGTCGGTCACTATCTGGGCCGTCCCCCACTTCGCCCATGGGAGAGGCGGCAGGGTTTCCCTCCCAGGTTGGCTCTAGACTGAGTGCCAGGGCAGGGGCGTCTGAGTATTCTTTGCCCACTTTGAACTAGTGGGAGCGTGAGGCAAAACTCTCAGAAGCTTTGTGTCTCCGCTCCACCCTGTTCTGCACCAGAAGGCCGTGTGATTGGCCGGGGCACAGGACACACCCGTTACTCCACTTCTTGTCAGCATAGGGGTTTGTGTATGTGTCTCTCCCGCCTCCCTGGGCCCACAAGTACTTCGGAGCACCTGTATGTTCTGAGGGTGAGGTAGAGAGATGCTTAGGTAAGGTGGAGGCAGGAAGGGAATGCCCAGCCCCTGCCTAGGAAAAGTGTGCTGTCTGTCTGGGGTGCTGTACAAAACCATGGCAAATGGTGTTAAGCAAGAAATAAATGTAGTCCTCCCGTTGTCAGTCAGTAAGATCTGGAAACATCAGGGTGGAAGTCTCCCAACAGGTCAGCTGGAAAGGTGGTACCTTATGGGGAGAGAACAGTTTTGACACAGGAGGAAAAGGGTGAGCTTGCTGCATGGGACCAAGGTTCAGACTTGGGCTGGAAAGGCCTTGAGAATCAGATTGTGAAGTTAGGGCTTTGGGCTGTGGGCAGCATGGGTCTGGAAGAACACTGAACAGAGGAGAGAGAGGTTTCTGGGATACTGCTGCCCTAGCCATCAGGTGGGCTGGACTGCCTGGCAACTGTTGTGTTCCTCTCTTCTCATAGCTGATCAAGAGCTACACCGCAATGAGGAGACGCCAGGAGTAGCAGCCCGAGGGGGCCAGTCAAGGCCCCTGGAGGCAGAGGAGCAGAGAGCTGGAGGCAGACCCCGCCGCCGGAGGGACCTGGGCAGCCGCCTACAGGCTCAGCGTCGAACCCAGAGGGTGGCTTGGGCAGAAGTGGATGAGAATGAGGAGGAAACTGACATCCCAGGTGAAAGGGGCCTAGCCTGGTGGGGAAGAGGGGTGGGTTGAGAGGGTGAATGAGCCCCAAAATTTGCTGGAGAGAAGCTAGGAGTCACTTGGTAGAGTGGGTGGAGACTTGGGACATGAACTTGGTCATGGGGGCCAAGAGTTCTATGGCCTGATCGTCATTCCATTGGGGCAGCCCCTCTTCCTTTATCTTGGCTCTTAGTGTCCAAGCAGAGGTTCAAGGATCTTCAGATTGACCTGGAGAGTGTCTCAGCTCACCCCTAATATGGAATGGAATCACTATAATTCTAGAAGAAGGGTTTGGGGACAGAGTCATTCTGTTGGCACAAGAGAGCTGCATATTCCTGGTGCTAGGAGACCAACAGAGCCCTTAGGTTTATGAGAAACAGTGTCTCTTCTCTAGTACTTAGTAGCTGTCTTGAACCTGAAGAGGGACCTCAGGGCCTTTCCCAGGGGACATCAGGGATTTTCTCCTTTAACCTCTGGGGTTAGCCCCTTGGACTCAAAAAGAGGTCATTTGTGGTACCATCCTTCCTATCCTAGCTCTAGAGTCATATGCCACATCTGCTCAGGTATCAGCAGATTTTTAAGTTTCAGCTGGCCCTGGAGTAGTCCTGGGGTTGGAACTGTCTTTTTAGCCTGGCACTCATGGGACAGGATAATCTTAGTCATAGGCTGAGCCTAGAACTTTCAGCAGTTCCTGAGTAGAGTAAGGAGGACTTCAGTTTTGAGACTGGGATAAATATTCTCATCAAGTCATCCTTCCCTAAAGGTTTGACATAGAGACAAAAACCAGGGACCTCTGCAAGTCCTGACAGCCCCACCTGTGATCCTTAGGCATTCAGTTATTGGCATTGCCCTCCTGTAACTCTGCAGTGTCTTAAGTCTCATAACCCGCCTGCCCATAACCCCCATTCCCAGCACATATGTATGTACAGGCACATGTGAGTATGACAGGCACCCCTTGAGGGTAGGGCTGAGCTAGTAACATTCAAAGGTGAGTGTCAGGGTGATGTGGATCCTTTCTGGCTAGGAATTGAAATGTCTTTCTCTGACCATATCTAGCTCAGGAAGAAGAAGACATTGAGAAGCCAGCAGAAACTCACCCGACAGGGAAAATTGGAGCCAAGAAACTACGAAAACTAGAAGAGAAACAGGCGCGAAAAGCCCAGCGTGAGGCAAGCAGAAGGAATGGGGTGTTGCTCTGGGATGCAGGAAAGGGCTGTACCTTCTGTGTCCCTGGGGTGAACTCTCTCTTCTAGGCTCCTTTTATACTGGGCTCCTATTTGCTGCTTGTCTGGCTGTCTCCTGCAGCCTTCGTCTGTGTCCTGGCCCAGCCATCGCCTTCCCTGGCTTGTCTGGGGGGTAGGCACACTGTAGCTGGGTAGGGCATGAGGGCTGAGGAAGGCCTCTCTCCAGGCAGAAGAGGCTGAACGAGAGGAGCGGAGGCGCCTGGAGTCCCAGCGGGAGGCAGAGTGGAAGAAGGAGGAGGAGCGGCTCCGCCTAGAGGAGGAACAGAAGGTGAGGCTAACCCTGACCCTGACCTCTGACCCCCCACTAGTCAGTCTTGGTCATGTGCAGCTCTCTAACATATTTGTTCTGGAAGATGGGCCAAAGCTCAGGCTGTGGTTTCTTTAGTCTCTGAACTCTAAATGTGGCCATGGAAGCTGTTGCTGCTAAGCAGAGCCCTATTTGGGGATTCTAGTGCACATGATGTGTGGAGTGTGCCTGGAACATTTGAGGTGGTCATAGTGGCCAAAGCAGAGTAAGCAAGGAAGAGAGGAGAGAGCCAGAGAGATAAAGAGGTTTCAGATCCTGACCCCTTTGAGGCTGTTAAACAGCGTAGTAAGGGATGGTGGATCCAGGTCTGGGATGTAGCACTGTAGTAGAGTGTTTACGTAGTATCCCTAAGGCCCTGGGTTTGACCCTTAGCACTGAAGAAAACCATATCAAACCAAAAGCATATGGGATGTGGCGGGGGAGATCATCCATCATTGAGGGGCCTGGCATAGGGAATAGCTCAGGCATTGGGAGCCACTGCAGTTAGTGGTGATTAACGACCATTTGTTTGCCAGGTGCTTCTTTTGTTCTGAGAACCAAGTTCCCAAGGAAGGGAATAAAGATGTGAGGTACATAGACTCTCAGCCCAGACTGACCCAGCTGGCCTTCACTGGTCCTGTTGTCTCAGTACCCTGGATGGCAGGAAACCTGTCTGTAGGGGTTGTAGCAAACAGGCCAGAACACAGTGGTGGGAATGGGGTAGGAAGCGTTAGTCTTTCTGAATGTTGGCCCTGTCATTACCTTCAGTGTTCAGTTCTTTTCCCCTGTACTCAGTTTTCACTATTCTTATTTAGATTTTATAAGTTTTTCCCCAGTATCCTTTTTGCTTTTCAGAGTCCCATCCAAGATACTATGTTACGTTTAGTTGTCATGTCTTCTTATGCTTCTCTGGGTTGTGATAATCAGACTTTCCGTATTTTTTATTAATAGTTGGATGAGAACGGGGCAAATAAATAGTTTGTAGGCATCCCTTAGTTTGAGTTGCCTGATGGTTAGACTGGGGTTGTAGTTTTTTGCTGCTGTTCGTTTGTGTTGCTAAAGATTGAATTTAGGGCCATGTGCATGTTAGACAAGCTTTGTACCATTTGAGCTGTACTGAAGTTATGGATTTGATTTTGTTTTTGTCCTTTTTTTTTTTGGTCTATTTTGAAACAGAGTCTCGCTATGCAGTTCAGGCTGGCCTTGAGCCCACTTTGTAGCCCAGGCTGATCTCAAACTTGTAATGAGGGGGCTGGGGATTTAGCTCGGCGGCACAGTGCCTGCCTGGCAAGTGCAAGGTCATGAATTTGATTCTCCGTACCAGAAAACAAACAACAACAAAAAACTTGTAAAGATTCTTCTGCCTCAGCCTCCCAAGTGCTGGTATTATTACCCATGTTCACCACCATGCCTGGCTTGTCTTTGGTTTTTACTTGTTTTTTTTTTTCTTTTTTTTTTTTTTTCCTGGTACCAGGCATTGAACTCAGGACCTTGTGCTTGCCAGGCAGGTGCTGCACCACTGAGCTAAATCTCTAGCCCCTGCACTTTGTGTTTAATTCAGTACCATGTTAATAAAATGATGTTTGACCATTGGAAGTGCTTTCACTTGCCGCCTATATTCTATTTTTTTAAACAATGCTGGGGATTGAACCCAGGCTTTGCATGCTAGACATGCATTCTACCACTAAGCTACTGCCCCACCCCTTCCTTATTGTTTATTTTGAGACAGTGTCTCACCAAGTTGCTAAATTGCCTGGAATAGGCTTGAATTCTCAATCCCTTTGCCTCAGCCTCCCAGAGTGCTGGGATTACAGGTGTCTACCACTATGCCCATTTATCACCAGCCCTTTTTAAATTTTATTTTAAGGCATAGTCTTGCTAAGTTGACTAGCCTGGTTTGAAATTTGGGATCCTTCTGCTTTGGCTTTCTAAGTAGTTGGTGTTATAGCCACGCACCACCACTCTGGCTCCTGTGTACCTTTCACATGGCTTTATTATTTTGGTTTTTTTTTTAGTACTTTCTTGCATTCCATCACTACAGGTTACTCCAAGCTCATCTTGTATACTGCATGCTTTAGCTTTAGCTTCATATTTTAAAGCATTTTTCCGAATGCCCGTGAATACGTGTTGTGAGGAGGGAGCTCTTGCACTAGGTTGTGGTGCACTGCGTTCTGTGACATGAGAGCAGCATGGTGGGGAGAACCTTGTTTCTAACCAGGGCAGCTGGTCATGTGGCTGTGTGATTCTCTGGTCTAGGGATCCAGTAGGAGGGCTGGACGTGGGGAGTGGATCACAGGTTCTATCTGGTGCCTGTGAGATGGCCTGGCTGATGGGTCACATGTGCAGTTATGTTTGGGAGGAGGTACTTGGGTGGGAACACAACTGTGACAGTTGATGTGGGGAAATTGTTGATGTTGTGGGCTAGGTAGGGTGGCTCAAAGGGGGTATGGAGGAGGGAGCAGGAGCACATCTGAGTGTTGGAGGGGGTGGGGAAGGAGGAATGTAGAAAAAGGGGGGATATGGAAGCCAAGGGAGGAAAGGGGATAGTTGGCTCTGCTTATCACTATGAGGACAGTGATGTGAGCCCTCACAGGCCTTGGGTTTGTGAGCTGGTGAGCATGGGTTAGACCAGAGCAGATGTTTTGGTTGAGGTGGGTACACAGAAGCCAGATTGGAGTGGGCTGGCTGGGTGCATGGGTGGGTAGGAAATGGAGTCTGGTGTTTGCTCATGAAGTGTGGACGTGATTGGGTACAGAGAGGGTGGGGTTGTTGCAGGGCTTTCAAGACATTTTTTACCAAGCAGGTGTCCTGAGGAAGGAGGGCAAGGGGAAAAGGCTGGGCTGCACTTGTCTGGGTGGTAATGGAGATAATGGGGGTTGCCTCTGCTTGTTTAGCTTGGGAGCCAGGGGATGGGGGAGTTTTCTTGAAGGAGCTGTGTCCTTAAGAGCAGGGAGACAAGGGCTTGGATAGGCATGGATGGGTGGGTAGTCTGGGCAAGTACCTTGTATACCTGACTCTTGCTTCTTTGTGTCCACAGGAGGAAGAGGAGAGAAAGGCCCGGGAGGAGCAGGCCCGGCGGGAGCATGAGGAGTACCTAAAACTGAAGGAGGCTTTTGTGGTGGAGGAGGAAGGTGTGGGCGAGACCATGACTGAAGAGCAGGTGTGCCATTGTTCCTGGGAAGCTGGTGAAACAGGGCAACCTGTGTCAGGCCCAAGTCTGCCCCATCGCAGACACTCCTGGCTAGACACTGGGAGGTGTGCAGACATTGGTACTGGCAGGGCCTGGCAGCTAGAGCCTTGCTCTCAAAACCCTCGCCCCTCACTCTACACCCCTCACCCTGGCAGGCTCTGCTGCTTATGTGGGCAGGTGTTTTTTTTTGGCACACAGGCAGGTGACACAGTGATCCCAGGCATTAACTCTTGTGGCCTGTGCCAGGCAGGCCAGGGAGATGCTCACCCTGATTTCTCTGTCCCTCTAGTCCCACAACTTCCTGACAGAATTCATCAACTACATTAAGGTAAGAGGCTCACAAGAGCACAGTGTCAGTTTGTGCTGTGTGTGTTGGGAGGTGCACATGTGTTCTCAGGGTTGGTGGGCCAGGTGCTGGCCCAGGGAGCCCCTGCTCCTTGGACCTGAAAGGTGGAGAAGGACCTGGATCTGTGTGGGAGGTGATCACTTCCTCACACGTAGGCTTTGACAGTTCCTTTGCTCTTCAGACCCCACGCTCAGTGAGTCACTATTTTTGAGTCTCTCCACATGTGTTTTCTGTCAGTTCTGTCACAGTGAGGCTCCACTGAATTGAAACAAGTGTCCCCTACCATGTGTTCTTGACTGAAAACTTGGGTCTTCCAAGGGACCGAGATGGTGTGGCAGGCAGTGTCTCTTTTGGCCATAGTCACTGCATAGGCCACTCTGATACTTCTGTGGTTGCATAAGCCCATCCTGATCTGCTTTGCTGCTAAGCAACTTCTCCTCTCCCACGAAATCTGTGGTGAGGGGAGAGGTTTTCAAGTGCAGCGCAGAGGCGGCTGAGGGAAGGAGTGCAGAGGGAGCGGGGGCTGACGGTGGGGGTGGCACCAGGGGCTGCCAGGGAACAAGGGCTTGCGTAATCCTCTCCTACCCCTTCTGAAAGCAGGGTATAGATACCTCCCAGCAGCCTGGGGCCTGCAGTTCCCTAAGAGGGAGAAATGCTGGCAAGTGCCAGGGCTCTGGTTCCCTCCGGCTGCAGGGGGCTGCTCCCTAGGCAGATGCTTCTCATTGTCCTGCTGCTGTTTGGAGCTTGCTGTCCCCCCTGCCCAGTGGGGAGCAGCATGGTCCTGAAGTGCCTCATCCAAGAAGCCTTTCTAGGTGTGGTTTTAAAGTTGCCCTCTTCTGCAGAGACCAAGTCCCCAGGCCTTCCTATTGGTGACCCCTTGGAGATTGTTTTTGGGGGGATTTCCAGCCCATGCTGGCTGACTGCTAGCACTGCTGTCTTCATGAAGGAAGAGGACTTCTGAAGTTCAGTTCCCCACCTTCCTCTCCTCACTCCAAGGGAACAGGCCCATTCGATTTAGGTTTCTAAAACTGGAGGAAGATTTCTTTATGCTGCATAGTTCCTGTGAGATGTAGGGGGAGCTTGATCTTGCTGGTTCTCTGCTTGCTTTTTTTGTTTATGTTCTGTTTTTTTGAGACAGGGTCCTGTGATGTAATTCAGGCCAGCCTTGAACTTACTATGGAGGCCAGCTGACCTTGTACTGGTGTTTATCCTCCTGCCTCAGCCTCCTGAGTGCTGGGATTATAGGTGTGCGCCACCATGCCCAGCTGGTCCTCTGCTTTCTGGCCATGGCTGGGTTTCTCTGTTTGTTCATGTTTTTCAAACACACTTTGGGCACAGCACACCTCAGGCTAAATCCTTGGAGGCTATCTGGGCTGGCCTTATAGTCCTGCTCTGAGCTGTCACCAAGAGCCCAGTGTCTGTTCCCTATTTTGTAGGTAGAGGCCAGCTGGCCTTGTGCTTGCTTGCTCCCTGGCCCAACTGGCTCGCTGTTTGCACATATGGTTTGGCATTTCAAACAAGTCACATGCGCTCTGCAGCTGGGGAGGTGTCACAGTGTCACTTCTCCCCCAGCTCATTTGCTGTGGGGATTCATGGAAGCACAGAGGCCCGCCTTCTCTCAAGTCACACGCTGTCTGTGAGGGAGGCGGGGGAGGATGCACGCGGAGCCCTTGTGGCGGAGCCTCCGCTGCACCACAGGAACTGAAGTCTGTTGAGGGTATGAGGGCGTCACGTGGAATACGGCACAGGGTCCCGTGTGGAAGGCACTTGGGAGTGGTAGTGACAGTTACTTTAAGGGAGCCTTAGTGCCTCAGACAGTATAGGGAAGATGAGCAGACAGAAGTTGAGTGATGCAGTTATGGGGGGTCCAGGCTGAGGGGAACTGAGCGAATATGAGGCAGGAGTGACTCCCATTGGCTTCACCCTAACACCTCCCCTTGTTGGGATTTGTTGATCTTTTCGCATGCCTTCTCTCACAAGTCAGGCTGTGAGCCTGCGGATGGGAGGTGTGCTTTGTTTATCATGGTGTCCCTTGTACCTCCTTAGTGCCTTGCCCTGGGAGGTCCTCAGCAAACACAAACCTCGATGATGGGTTTTTTTTTTAAATTGGTGGTATTGGGGATTGAACTCAGGGCCTTTGCACTGAGCTACATCTCATCTCCAGCCCTGTTTTATTTTTGAGACATAGTCTCATTAAATCACAAAGTTGCCCGGGCTGGACTCAAAGTTGTGATCCTCCTAGAGTACAGGTGTGTGTCACTATCTCCAGCTTGGTGACATGGCCATGACATGCTACACAGTTGCTCTACCACTTGGCCAAGTCCCTAGTCCAAAGTGACAGTTTTCTAAAATATCTTTTTTGTTTTGGTTATTCTGGGAATTGAACCCAGGGCCTTGCACAAACCAGACAAACACTCTGCCACTGAGCTATATCACTAGTCCTTTTTTTTTTTTGTCTTTTTGAGACAGAATCTCACTATGCAGTTCAGGCTGGACTTGAGCTCACTTTGTAGCCCAGGCTTGCCTCAAACTCACAACAATCCTCCTGCCTCAGCCTCTTGAGTGCTGGGATTATAGGTGTGCGCCACCACACCTGGCCACTAGTCCTTTTAAAAATAAATAAATTTGGGGGCTGGGGATTTAGCTCAGCGGCAAAGCGTCTGCCTGGCAAGCGCAAGG